TGAGAAAGAGAGAGATTTTTCATTTGGATAGTGTTGTTAAGTTCTTAAATTGATCTATTGATGAGTTGTTACTATGTTCTCTCAACTTTTTGTTGTAAAATTATTTTTGATTTTGATAAATTTTTGTGTCGTAAGTGAGCAATATGAATTGTGTATATTTAATAGATAACAGAGAAGCCAAAAAGATGTCACGAAAGAGGCAAGTAACTGTGAAGAAACAGAAGAATAGTGGTTGCGAATGATCTAATTTCATTTGATATAACCAGAGTAAAATTTTACTCTGGTTCTATTGCTCTGTTTTTTTCATTTGACAGAACCAGAGTAAAATTTTACTTTTATACAGAGTAAAATTTTACTTTAGTTTCAGAGTGTAACATTTTACTCTTATTCAGGGTAAAATTTTACTTTAGTTTCAGAGTGTAACATTTTACTCTTATTCAGAGTAAAATTTTACTTTAGTTTCAGAGTGTAACATTTTACTCTTATTCAGAGTAAAATTTTACTTTCATACAGAGTAAAATTTTACTCTGAAATACACAGTGAAGATGGTTTAATAGGAGAGCTGATAGATATGAGGGTATTATAGTCAAATAAACAAGTTTTAAAATATTATGGGGTTTTGAAAGTACTTATATGATTCTTATCATTTTGAAAGACAAATTAGATAGTGAGGGGGCTATTACCAAATCCCCCTTAAAAAAAAAAAAAAAGCTTAGTAATTAAAAAAAAAAACCAAACTAAAACAGCTTTGGAAGAAAAGAAAAGAAAAAAAAATTGATTTCGAGATTTCGAGGCAAATTCGTTTTCATCATTGATGGCGTAAACCCTACACATACATGAGTGAGTGTAAGTTGAGATTTAAAGGGTTGCGAAAATCTCCAAAAAAAAAAAGGATCTCAAACATTTTTCTTAAGAGTATTATTGACAATATTTTGTCTACATCTCTCTCTCTCAATGCAGTTGAAACCAAATCTGTTTACATCTATTTGAAGCAGAAAAGTTCTTCAAACAAAAAAAAATCAAACTAACAAAGCCTAAATGATCCCACTCCACAAATTTTCTGAGCAAAAAAGCAAGGTATATGCATGTGCAAGTTCTCATGAACCAAACAGACATCTTAGTCAGAGCTCTAACTATAATACATTACAAACAGAACCACCATTTTTAAAAAACAGAGCACAGACACAACCATCACAGGACCATTGAAATTGCAAACCCAGATCAGATGCACTTTACATTATCGAAGGACTGCTCGTTTGGTGACACTTATCGCCGCTCGCCGATCTACTCTTTAGATTGTTACCGATCAGTAGAGAGTAGGGGTGAGCAACGGATATACCGATCCGCCAAAACCGACTGAACCGAATCAATTCGCCGTATTTTGGACGAATGCGTGATGACGAGCGGATGGTTGCGGATTGATTTTTTCCAATCTGGCGGACGGATGACGGATTTGAGATTCTTTTGGCCGCAACCGAACCGCAAAACCGCCAAATCGTGAGTACCCCTAGTAATTTATAAGACTTTGTGTTTTCAGTTTGTTTAAATATTCTGTTTGTGTTTTCAATTAAAAAAGAGTTTAAATATTCTGTTGAAAAAAAGTTTTCAACATGAATATCTTTTTGAATTGAAAAAAATAAACGTATCATTTATCTATATTTTTTGATTTTTAAATCTATCTCTAAAAATAATAAATAGAAAATATGATATATGCTGGTTGGTTTTTGTTTTCAAAAATAGATATAGATTTAACAATACAAAGACATACAATCTCTATTACTACTCTGTTCATGGTTTTGGTGGTTTGAATTGTTTTTATATTTTAAGAACCACAGATTGTAATACTTTATGTGGATGAGTCATGCAATGATTGTGATATTCTAATGTTTCAAACTTTCTTACTTTGGATAAGGCATACAGTAATTGTAATATTTTTTTAAGTCATTGACTGTAATACTTTCTTTTTTTTTTCTTTTTTTTTTGAGGAAGTACACAAGTTGAATTATGTTGAAAATTTATAAAATTTTAAACCGCCAAACCGATTCGCAGCCGTCCGCCAATCCGCTTAAATCACATCTGCCGGATTGGCGGACGGATACGGATTGATTTTCTCCAATCCGCCAATCTAGCGGACAGATGGCGGATTGGAGGATTCGTGGCCGCAATCGACCCGCGCCCACCCCTAGTAGAGAGAGAGAGAGAGAGAGAGAACGAGCAAAAGAAAAGAAAGAAGGCTACTATTAGTGCTCTCCTCTCAGCTAGGTTTACCAAAAAAAATAAATATATAAATAAAATCTAGGGTACTAAAAACAATCCGACGGTGGAGATTAAAAGAAAAATAAAAAATAAAAATACAGACCCGCAACCCGCGGATTCAGCCAAAAACAGACCTGCATCCGCCTGCATGTATCCCTCGAAATCGCCCAAAAACATTCGGTTTGGATAAGGTAGAAAAATTTGTGCAGGTCGAATCATCCTATACTTTTTTTTTTTTTATCATGAAACACAGCATCTCAATTGACTAGAATTAGGAAATAGACACCTAACAAGCCCCATAGGTGGCTGGGTAACCCAATTCGTGGGTAAGGAATTACGAAAAGAAGCAGACGCCACCCAGTGGGCTGCACAATTAGCCTTACGAGGACACCAACTAAAACTGAGATGCCTGCTCGAGGCTAAAGCTCTAACATCACAAAGCAGAGCAAGGAGCTCCCATGAGGGAACACCTTCAGACACACAAAGATGAATCACAGATTGACTATCACTTTCAATTTGCACGTCGGTAAGATCAAATGCAGCGGCCATGAGACAAGCATACCGAATAGCGAGTAACTCTCCTTGAACAACAGATTGTAAGCGAATCTTACGCACCAAACCATCCACCAGCTGGCCCATATGATCGCGAACAAGCACTGCCACTAAGCCTTTGCCGAGCTTCAAATCCACGGCAACATCACAATTAAGTTTCCAGTGGCCATGCATAGGGGGGTCCACGAAGGTCCTCTACTAGCAACCTCCGTCGGTTCACTCCGAGAAGAAGTGGGCACTGGACAAGAGGCCAAGAATTCAGCTTCATCCCGCTTGGCTTTCGCGATCACCCCCACGAGGTCAACCAAACAATGGTTAAACAGATGTTCGTTTCTACCTTTCCAGATGGTCCAAGCCACCCAAACCATGGAGCATAACACAGATTTCCCCCAGTCAGAAGTTCCCAGCGACTCAAAATATTTTCCAAACCAATCTCGAGCCGAAAAACTGTCTCGATCATCACATCTGAGGCCAAGGTCACACCCAAACCAGACTTTCCTGGACCAGTCACAATCAAACAGCAGGTGCTCAATGGATTTCGAAGCAGATAAACACACAGGGCAGCAAGCTGAGACCGCGCACCGGCAAGAGAAAAGATTCTGGCAAGTAGCCAAGGCATTATGATAAATTTTCCATAAGAAATGCTTGAGTTTGGGAGGTAAGTGCAGGTTCCACACTAACAGCCACTCTTTGTCAGACCAACTATTTGAAGAAGATGGAACAGAGGATGCCAAGTGCGCCTGATTCATAGCTTCGTGATACCCCGACTTAACCGTATAACGACCCTTTGAATCATGATGCCAGAGAAGAGTATCATCTTTGTCCGTAATTGAGACTGGAATGGAAAGAATAGCCTCACAGTCAGCTCCAGACACTAAGCTTCGAAGCTTGCTTTCATCCCAGATTAAGCGAGAGGAATTAATTACCTCATGCACCTTTTGCACCGAAACCCCGCTAGGCCTTTCGGAATAGACACGAAATCCCGGATTAGAAGGAATCCACATATTATCCCAGAAGTTGATGGACTTACCATTTAGAACTTGCCACTGCAGCCCGCTTGTGAGAATGGTCCTCCCCTGAAGTAAGCTAAGCCAAGCCCAAGAAGGTCGCGCCCCTCGCGAAGCATGACAAAAATCTGAGTTTGGGTAGTAAATGCCTTTGAGAATTCTAGCACATAATGAGTTCAGGAATTGAATTAATCTCCAACCTTGGCGGGCAAGGAGAGCTCTATTGAAAGCTCGAAAGTCACGAAAACCCAAGCCGCCATTACGCTTTGACATGCAGATTTTATTCCAGCTAGCCTAGTGGATGCCTCTCCCCTCCGGATCACCTTTCCACCAAAAATTCCAAATGTAGGAACTCAACTTATCACACAATTTGTTAGGGAATAGAAAGCATGCCATGTCATAGGTGGGCAACGCTTGGGCAACCGATTTGCTGAGGACTTCCTGGCCAGCTTGGGACAGTAACTGTACTTTCCACCCTTGCAGTTTGGACAAAACTTTCTCACACAAGAAATTGAAAGCCTCAGCTTTGGAACGTCCCCAACACGACGGTAGGCCCAAGTATCTAGCATTGGCTTGCATCTGCAGGATACCAAGGAACCCACACACTTCCAATCTACTCAAGCTAGAGACATTGCCTAAGAACTGCACAGCCGACTTATCAAAATTAACGGCCTATCCCGTTTCTTGTCCATAGACTTGTAACAAATGTCCTAACTCCCAACACTCCGCTCGGTTGGCCTTGGGAAAAATCACTGCATCATCCGCGAAGAACAAATGTGACAAAATAGGACAACCCCTTCGAATTTGCAAACCAGATAGGCGCCTAGCTTGAACACTACGATCAATCAATTTCGAGAGAACATCCATCACAAGAATAAACAGATATGGGGAGAGAGAATCCCCTTGGCGGAGTCCCCGCAAAGGCTTAAGACTAGTTCGCTTGGCCCCATTAACTATCACAGAGAACGAAACCGTGGTTACACATTCCATTACCCAATGAATCCATTGAGAATGATTACGCAGCAAGGCCCGAAGAAATCTCCAATCCACACGGTCATAAGCTTTGTGGAAATCAACCTTAATCGCCATCTCCTCCACCTTCCCTTTTCGAATTTTCAGAGCATGGAAAGCCTCATGGGCTACGATAATATTGTCCTGAATGAGCCGTCCTGCCATAAAGGCCGACTAATTTGGTGAGACCACTTCACTAAGAACACCCTTCAACCGGTTGGCTAGAATCTTGGTGATCACTTTTATGTTGAAATTGCAAAGGCTAATTGGCCTAAACTGTGAGAGTGTTTCTGGTGCTGGAACTTTGGGTATGAGAACCAAATTCGTATGATTCATCTCCTTCAACAAGAAGCCCCCCCTAAAGAAGCTCTTCACCGCCGCACAAAGGGATGGCCCCACAATATCCCAATGCCAATGATAGAAATACCCAGGGTAGCCATCCGGTCCAGGCGCTTTCAAAGAACCAAGTTGAAAGGCCGCTAATTTGATTTCCTCATCCGAAACAGCTTGAATCAACGAGGCATTCATTGTAGAAGAGATGACATTATGAACCACATCGAGAGCACTATCCATATCCTCTCCCTTACTACCGAAAAATAGATGCATAAAATAAGTGAATAAGTGAGAATTTATGTCCGACTCCGACTTCAGAATAGTGCCATCTTCACATTTCAGTTGCAGAATCTGGTTCCGTTGGCGCCGCTACTTGAGTGTAGCATGGAAAAAAACAGAGTTCCTATCATCAAAATTAAGCCAGCGCACTCTAGATCGCTGATGTAAATACATTTCCTCTCGCTGCAATACCAATTCCAACTCATGGGCCAACTGTTTATAGCGCACCTCAACATCCGAAGAATAAGGATGACTCTGAACCTGAGCAATTTGCCCCCGAAGGTCGTTAATACGTCTTTTACCATTACCGAATTCCCTTGAACTCCACGCCCAAAATCTCCGTTGACTACGTTTTAGTCTTTGGACCAATTGAAACATATGAGACCCCACTTGCTCCCTTTCCCATTCGGAATGAATAATAGCCACACAACCCGGGCTGGTGGTCCAAAGCGATTCAAATTTAAATTGTCTAGGAACCCGGGCAGAAGGGACACAATAATTAATAATCAGGGGACAGTGATCCGAACCGAAACAAATTTCATGAAAAACTTGAACTTGCGGAAATAAGTCCTGCCAATCAATCGTGGCGAGAGCCCTATCCAATCTTTCCCGAACATTGCCCGCACTCTTCTGATGGTTAGACCAAGTAAAAGCGTTCCCCTGAAAGCCCAAGTCCGTCAGATTGCAATCGGAAATGAGTTCTTGAAATTTGCAAAGCTGAGAAACCTGACACTCTCGTCCTCCTTGTTTTTCAAAAATGGATCCCACTTGGTTAAAGTCACCCACACAGAGCCATGGGTAATGCATTTCCGCAGCCACTCCCCTTAGATAATGCCAAAAGGCCCTCAGTTCCCGCCTACAAGGAGGGGTGTAAATAAACGAGGCAGCCCAGCACCTGCCTGCAAATGGCGAAATAATACACCTTAAAATATTCGGAGACTTTGAACGAACATCCAAAACAAACCTATCCATCCACCAGAGGGCAAGTCCACCGGAAGAACCAATAAGGTCCACATAACAACTATTCGAAAAGGAAAGGCTACGTCTGATGCGTTCCAACATAGTTCTCTTATTCTTTGTTTCCATTAAAAAGATCACCGAAGACCGATGGGTTGTGCACAACCCTCGTAATACCCGGACTGTCAGGGGACGACCCAACCCTTGACTGTTCCAGCTGAGGATTAGCATGATGCCTGTGGCTGTTCAGGGTCAGCCACCACCACCCTTTCCAAATTAGCAGGATCTTCCACCCCTCCGACTTCCGCGCACCGATGCCTACCAAACTGTGTGCATGACCACCATCACCCAAGGAAACAACACTAACTGGTACGGTACCCCCTGAGTTGAGAGTAGCTACATTCGTCGAAGTCTAAACTTGTATATCCACCAGGGAATTCTGTCTCGGTCGACGACCTCTCCAGGCTAGAACCCGTGCCTTTGGTTTGGGAACAGAAACACAAAGTGCTAGTGACGCCCTAGTATCATCTTCCAACTCCTTAACAGCCCCTTTAAATTTTTTCTTTACCACTGGATCACAAAACTCCTCCTCACCCAGAGGCCTTTTCAATGAGAGGGTATTAAAAACTGTGGAAATACTTAAATCTATACTGGGTGCACTAGGCCCAATTCTTTCAGGGCTAGAGCTGGGGCTAAGTTCTTGCACTCTAATAGCAGGATGGGCCGTGGTCCCCATGGCCTGGGATATAAGAGGGAGACTGTCAATGGGCTCAGTGACAAAATAAGGGACTGGAAGTGGCAGATCGGACTCCTCCAATGTTGGGTTCAAAGAAATATGGGCCTCGCCCTCTATAATTGGTGGCCCAATATTAGAATTACAAAGAGGGTCCAATCCACTCACCAATCTAGAAGCATGCAAAAATGGGCCCCATTCTGAAGATAATTCCTGAGCTACAGCAGGCAAGCATGGACATGGTCGTGGAGCCTTCGACTACAAAGGATCAATTGCCCCAAAATCCACTCCACAAGATCGTACAGAATGTACCCCCACGTTCACTGCCAGCTGGTGAGATCAGATAATCTCTCATACTTGTAGTAGACCTTGAGTCCATCACCGGCTAGCCCCAAGCTATCTCGCCGATACAAAATGAATCCCTGTAACAGAGGTTTAGACACGTCTACTTCAACGTGTAGTCGCAAAAAGCTACAGTGAAGGAGCAATCCATCTGAGGGAGCCTCAATCTCCACTAGCCGACCAATCTGATTACCGATGACCTCTCCATGAGCGCGAGTCATTTTGTCAACAGGGAGGCCATGAACCTGGACCCAGAAAGGGCTCCAAAGGAACTCCAACTCGTCAATAGCCTTCCCGAGTGGAAGTGGCTGAAGAACCAATAGACTTCCCATCACAGACCAAGGGGCTTCCTGGAGAACCCTCAAACGGTCCTCAAAATCTTCAAATTGGAAGAGAAAGACATTCTCCTTCCAAGGTGTAATGACAACCCCAGCCCGTGCCTTCCAAGCAGCAAGAAGAATATTAGACGCGGCTGGTTTGTTCAAGATTTTGGAGGTGATGATCTTCCCCACCAAACATCGATGCGAGACATCCTCACACTCATCCATGACCTCCGGCAGCTCAAAAGCCTCCATACACCTACCAAACTCCCTCAAAAGGATATCGGAGCACTGTAAAACACCCACAAGCACAGGGAAAAGAAACAGATGAGGGTCACACCAAAGGAAAACCCTACGCAGCTACCAAAAGGCAAAGAGAGCTCTCATTCTAGAGAGAGAAAAAATATTTTATTTTTCCGGTAGTAGTTATAATCATCCTATACTCAGTCCTACTAATTGCTTGATAGTTTATTGATTTACTGAATATGAGTAAAAAAAAAAAAAAAAACTTCTTTTTAAAAAGAGGATAAATCTCTCTAAAAGACACGCCAAAAAAAAAAAGAGTTAAATAATTGAGAATAGCATAAATAATCACAAAAAGCTTTGTATGGTACGTCGGCGGCCTTTTTTTTTTTTTTTTTTAGGAAAATTAAACAATAAATTACTAATAGATTCTAATAGTTAGATTTAATTCCTATCAAGTTTTATTGAAAATAAATCCTATTACAGTCGTTACTAAAAATATTTTTTTTGATGATTTTTTACATATAAAAATTGATAATTAGCGATTTTTTTGTGACAATTTTTTAAACTATTGCTAAAACTTATAATTAGTAATATTTTTTGTAATAAAATTTTCAAGGTGTCGTTGAAAATTAACAATTAGTGATATTCTTTAGTAGTGTATCGCAAAAAATATCATTAATTATTATAAAACTTATTAAACAATAAGTCTGCTTAGTAGGACCTACACGTAAACCCCAAAATTAAAAGACAAATATATAGATAGAACAAAGTTCAATACACTATATTCACATCCAACATATCAAAGGAACCATCAACAACCAAAAAGACATGGTAAACAAGATAAACCCAACAAGCAACCACATTCAAAACAACCAGCCACTGCGGCAAAACCTTGCAAAAAAGATTTAAAAAAAAAGAAAAAAAAAAACACGCATTAAAAAAGATAGAACAAGATGCTATCAAGACTGAAACATTTGGATCAAAGAGCTCTCTGCCGAGGTAGCCGAAATAGACTTGGATTGCTGATACTATCTTCAATCGTGACTCTCTCTTACGCTTGCCTTGATCATGGTTGTGGGGTTGAGGAAATTCACCATTAGCTTCCATATCGTCTAGACCCACATTGTGATATCTTGGGGCTCAGATTCGTTTAGAACACCCCATACGAAAATTCACATTTTACTTGGAGACCTATCCTAATAGTGGATCATTAAGATCACTCACAACTGAGGAGTGGCGTTCCAGCTTAGGAATTTCCTTTACATGTGTTATTGGTTCAAAGGTGTCATGGAGAGGTGGTTCAGGTTGAATATCTGGATTAAGAGCTTTGGACTTGTCAACTTCAATATCTGTCGAGGAAATCTCTTGTCTTTGAACCTCGACAACTGACATACTTTGTCGGTGTAAGAACTTAAATGAACCAATAGCTGTAAGTAGGGGTGGGCAACGGTTTATCCGAACCGCTCAAACCGCCCAATCCGCCCAACCCGCATATAAATGGGCGATTTCGCAAACATAATGCGGGCGGATGCGGTTTGAAATATGACAAATTTGCGGGTTGCGGGCGGGTCGCGGTTTAAACCCGCAACCCGCAAAAACCGCCCGCACTTTAATTATTATTATTATTTTTTTTTTATATACCAACTTTGTAACTTTTACAGGAGCACCATTATATTCTCTATGACACTAGGATCCTTATTTTTAAGTATTTCTCAACTTTCTTAATGCCGTAGAATTATCAAGTCCTAAACTTGGTTTCTTATATGATTTTCATTGGTGATTCATCCACTTTTTCCTAATAAAATTTTCCTTTTAATGGTCGATAGAACTTATAGTTTGATTATCGATTACTGAACTGGCAATTCTAATTGAGTACAACCTTTAATGCATTGATATACATTTTTTTTATGGCAAAAATGTTAGTGTAGGGTCACTTTGTTTTGGGTACTTTCATTTAATACATTGACATTCAATTTTTATTTGTAAACTCATCAAAAAATTGTTATCACAAATATATAAAATGAATCTGATGTCTAAATTCGCTGGGAAAAAAAAACTCAAAAATTAATTTTTAAAGAAAAAAGTGTAAACCGCAAACCGCGCGCAACCGCCCGCACATTTGCAAACCCTATCCGCACAAACCGCAAACCGCACTGCGGGCGGTTGCGGGTTGACTTTTTCCCAAACCGCATAGATGCGGGCGGGTCAAAACCGAACCGCAAACCGCATAAAACCGATCCGCAAACACCCCTAGCTATAAGGTTGTGACGCAGGTTACAATCAATTAACAAGACATTCCTACCCAATGTCATTTTTCTTTTTTGCTTGAGAGATTTTTTGTGACTAGCTCCACTTGTGAAATCTGCTCCTAATTTGCCACCATTGCCTTCAAACAAATCATTGCTCTAAGATGGAGCCTGCTTACCAGAATCAACTCCTTAGTCAACATTAATCGAAAAAACTGATCGAAAACTAGAAGATGGATCAGAAACAACACTACTGTTCAAATCACTACTTGGACCCCATGGCATTGTCTAGCACTGCTCTAGTGAAGTATTGTTCGTGACTAGGTCTTCATCCATAATATCTAAATCACCATTCTTAATAGTTTCCCAATCAAAGAAGAAATCATCACAAAGGGTATCTTTGTTAAAGCGATTTCAAGAGGGTCCAAACCAAAAAACAAGTCGTGTGGCGACGGACGTCTCATATTGTTTTGATTTAAGTTTGTGTCCATTGCAATACCTTTACGTTTCTCTTTATTAGAAAATCGCCTAATATTCGATTTAGAGTTGAGAAAGAAGCCATTTTTCAACATTAGTAGCACCCTCAAATCACCAAGTACAAATCAGAACAATAGAGCAAAATCAAAGAAACCACAAAATCGCACCCACAATAGCAAAAGGCAAACAATGCAGAACCAAGACCAAGCACAAAAAGACCAAAGAAACCAAGACCTCTAGCAACTAAACAAAAGAACAAGCCCCAAATACAGAAAACAATCCAAAAATCCCTAATGTTGTGTTTGGTTAGGGGATTTGATGAGGGATTTGGAAAAGGAAATGAAAAAAATGGATGAAATGTGAATAAAGTATACCTAAATTTCACCTAGTTTCACACACTTTTTCTCTTTCCTTTTCCAAATTCCTTCCGAAATCTCTCAACCAAACACAGCGTAAGTGAGAAGTCCACAAAAAGCTGATAAAGTCTAGATTTGTTAGGATCGGGATCAGGCTTATGAGAAAAGGGGTTGAAAAAAAAAAAAAAAAAAAAAGGGAAAATGAGAGGGAAAGGCTTAAAGCACAACCGGTTAATAGATCTTACATCAGCAACATATCCCTTCCCCCGTGAGAGATGTAAAGATCGGGCTTGTGAGATCAGAAGTGTAATAACCCTCACCCCTGTTTACCGATAAATTACTGATTACTCCTAAACCGAGACTGATTACGATAAGTAATTGAATCAACTGAAATACTGAACAGACAGAC